GGAAGGTAAACTGAGAAAGTGAGCAGCCACAGTACAGACTCACAGTATCAGAAACTGGAAGGAAACAAGGGAGCAAAAGTGTCTAGAGAGATTATTTTTATTACTTTTGGAAAGTGAAATAAGTATTCTATTTTTTTTTTTAGAGTGATCCCAGTCAAATCATGTTTACAGGCTGCCCCAAGGAAAGATGGGGAGAAAGAAGGCGGAGTCACTAAAAAAAGGACACAGTGACAGGACAGGCCTGGGCGGATGGGCACCAGGGTTAAGGATGCTGAGAACAAGTCAGCCTTGAGCAAAAAGATGCATTTCATCCTCGGGGAATGAAAAGAGTACAGGAGTTTCCAGGTGGTAGGAGGCTGAAGAACGTTGGAAGAGACAGATCCACTTCTCTTGATAAAAAGAAGGATGAAACCAACTGCCCAGAGTGACGGCCAAGCAAATGTGGAGTTAGTCTTGAGCGACCCATGTCCTGGTCTAACCAGGCTCAAGTCAGAAATGGACAAGCGACCACTGACAGAAGAAACATATTTTAAAAACCCTCATTAGAATCATCTTTCATAAGATAATTTATTTCATAATTTGGTTTATGAGTTAAAATTTCACTCAACAATGATTCAGAGTTAAGCACTAACATGAGTCAGTATTCATGCTATTAAAAAAATCAAACTTCAAGTTGAGGTCAAGTCCATAATGCCAGTAAAATGCTAAGGACAATCTTAAACATATTATCTATTTGTAGAATTTCTGCTTAAGTTTTTGCTTTGGTTGTATAAAAATTTATATTTTAAAATATAGCTTATGTCACAAACAGTATTTTTTTAACCTTGAACCATGCCTGATGGATATTAATTTTGCTGTTTTACCAATGAAGAAACTGAGAATCAGAAAGGAAATAAATGAAACATCCTTTATGTCATAGTTGGCAGGGGTGTTAACACTCTACCCCAAGTATTTTGTTTGTTAAAGCAGAATTTCTCCACTATATAATTAATATGTTTTAACTGCAGATCAAAGATATCTTTCAGACCAAAGAAAATCTTTAATTTTTTGCCATTTTTTATTTTAAGAAACATAAATAGGATTATCCCAAAATTATTGGGAGAGCAAAGAGATTACACTGATCAAAGGAAAAGTCACATGAATACTAGTTTTTATCAGAAGTGGGTTTTAGATATTATACCAATACCTTTCATTATCTTAAGAACACACTATATTTAAATATTTCAAGGAACACATTCAAAATTAAAAATAATCCTTACTGAAAATCTAAATGTAGTTAAACCACTACAAGTCAGCTTTTGTAATAAATTATTGATCCGTGTTCTTCTCATTCACCCACACCTGCAAACAGGCCAATTCTAAATGGAAGGGCAAAATTTTCACAAAAGTTTGAAAAAAGCATTCATAGTTTTTTTTTAAATACTTGAACTGTTGGGATATTTAGCAATATTTGACTTCGTCATATGATGAGTAAACCAAAACAATGATGAATTTTCCATTATTTGTGAAGAGACAGAGAACCCAAACACTCTGAATTGGATAAGAATTTATTAATCCTTCTAAAGGTATGGAATCACCATAATTGAACATATAAATGTGAACAGATCTATGTCTATCAGCAGATAGACACATTTTACTGCAAACAAGAATATTTCCACATATATACATTTTTAGCTCCCAAACATTGAAAATAGTTCAGTAAGAACATAAATCTGTCCCCAGTGCCCAAAATAATGTGTATGCCTCAAACTGTAATACAATGCAATAAATATATTATTAATCATTAAACTAAGCAATGAAAAATGTTTCCAAAATGCTCAACCACTGATTTTGGTATTCTGAATACACAAACTACACTCCTTTGCATCAGGAGCAGTCCCAAACTTAAAAAGAATTACAAAGAAGCATACAGATCATCCAGTCCAGCTCCTCAATTTGAGAGACAAGAAAAACTGGCCCAGGGAAGGGAAATTTACCAAGATTCATTTTAGGCAAAAGTGGAATTAAAATCCAGGTATCTGGATTCACAGTTTAGTGTGCTTCCCTGAAGTATCACAGATATAAATAACCTCATCTAATTTCATCTGGCAAGCAAATTCAGAGACTGAGTGGAACTTCAAGGATTGTGCTGAATCTGCTGTTTTATCATACTCCACAGCATCTTCCATACAAATAGATAATAAATATTATAATCCAGAAGAAAATTATTTGAATTACTCAAGCAATATTATACTATTCAAAACATATTATTCAAGATCTTTTCTAAGTAACAACATAGTACATATAATGTTCAGGCTCTTCTATCAGCTTTGTCAGACTCATTCCTATTGAAAGCACCCAGCCAAAACAAGTGAAGTAATGAACTACAACAAAAATAACAAAATAACCAACAAACTAGCACTTTTAACCCCATGGCTTTCAATTATAAGTCAGTAGTCACAATGGAACACTTATTTGCATCTACCACCAATCAAAACAACAAAACAAATAATTATGAAAGCTCAGTGGCTTACATCACTGACCTTGTATAAATTACCTTCCAGAAATTCATTCCGAAGAACTGAATCATCTGGATCATTTTTATTACACACTCAGTCTTGAGACAGTCTGCACAGTGCTGGCTGAAATGTACTTCACGGAACACCTTCTTTCCAAATGAACATCTATGTCAGGCGTATTTATAGCCACTGCCTTCAATCAGTACATTTCCAGGGGTGAGAAATAAAATTATCTCAACAACACTCTCTTATAGAGATTCAAAATAAGACCTAAGAATCTAGGTAGACAGCATTTGAAAAGACAACGAAAGATCTGTAATGTAAAATGTATGTTAAGGTTTATTCAGAAGAACATTATTCAATGAAAACATGAAGAGGTTTGGGTACAATTACAGAATTTAGATCTTGTGAATCTTTCAGCCAGTTGCAGAGTCTCTTTAAATACTCAAGATTATTATCATTACTCCCCCCCGCCTCCTCCTTATGATTCCTCTGAAATGTGGACACCTATCTTTGTTTCTTCCTTAGACATTTTTCTATTGAGGCACTTTTTACTTGTAATTCTTCACAAAAGCAGAACATGCTTCCCCCTACTGGGAAAATATTAAATTACAAAGTGCATAGGAACATGTTCCTAAGTATCAAGAAACCAAATTTCTGAGAAAAATAAAATGTTAAGGAAATGTTAAGGAGCCAGGTGCACTGACTTTTCTGACTGTTTTACCACACAGAAATACTTCTACACTCTGTTTAGAGCTCCTCACATGCACTGCTTTAGTTTGGCAGTTTTCAGTACACTAACTCTCATTTATGACTGATGAATTAATCATCTAGCCTGCTGTCCGCAAAAGAAGTCCAACTAGCAGGTCTGAGAAAATGATTAATTTGTAACAATTTCTATTTTAAAGACTTTATCAGCTAAATGAAGACATTTCTGGAAAATACATTGAAATAGACGATTTAAGAACACAATTGCATTTTTAATCATTTTGAACATTTGTTAATCCATTAATTTGCAATGTTTCTATTATTTTATGTAGCTTATCTATTTTTAATAGAGGGGGAGTTTAATTTTTTAACTGACTTTCATTTTCGATTTTAGGTTTCATTTTTTTAATTCAGTAACCAAGAAAGTAGTAAGCATGACTGCATTTTCCATCCCAAACCCTCTACAAAATCAACTTGTCCCCTGAAAAGCAGTTTACTTGTTTCACGCGCTCAGTATTTCACATATTGTTTTTCTTAATTACTTAATATATAAAACAGAAAAATATTTGATACTTTATTGTGGCAAATAATAATCCATCAATAAAATGTTTAAATAAGTCTAATGCCTATTTAATTCATACATGGAGGATTAGAATTTCTCCTTCCATGTAAAACTAAATCTCACAAAAGAAAACATTTCTTTTGATGCTGAAGGGCTGAGGGGAAGAAAGTTTTTACTTTTAGCTTTGCTGTAGGCAAGTTCCTAAGAACCTAAGGAACAAAACTGCATTGTAGTCAATTTGATGATGAAGCAACTCATTATTGAGACATTCATCCCCTCCCTCCAAAAAAAAAAAGTCTTTAGTTTTTATAAAGGTAAATGTAGATTGCTACAGATATCTTGGGTACCTTTAGCAGTTAGATAGCACTGTTTCAAGATAAATGGAATAGTAATCAGGTTAATACTTCTGTCATACAAAAGTTCCTGTGTGTGTGTGTGTGTGTGTGTGTGTGTTTAAACAACCCTTCAAATGAACACAAAAGACAAGATATTTATGTTCCTCTGGAAATGAAATCTCTTTTAACATTAAGGTACACACACACACACACACACACACACACACACACAAACTGCACACTTGGTACAAGAGTTGATCAATCGTGGAGGGTTCCCAGGGACCAGCATCTCCCAGAGCACCCAATCATCACACTTCAAATAAACTGATAAGCATTTCAGCCCCTTCCACATTCACAAACAGAACACGCATAATTTAATCTAGGTTAATACTAAGATTTTCCATAGGAAAGACTGTAATTAGACTAAGGAAATAAAAATCACTTCTCAATCAGAAGGGAGAGAGAAATAAGAGAAAAGAAAGGGGGAAAAGGGAAAGAAAAAAGGAAAAGGGAAAGAAAAAGAAATACTGATTTGTAGCTAAGAAGCTCATCAAACACTACACTGATCACCATTCACTCCGGACTGACTTTCCTTCCCTCGGCGGAGTTAAAACATCCCGGTGGACCACGCAGCTTCTTAACGTCGCTCCATCAGTGATCCTAAACAGCACTGTCTTCACAGCCAGCGCCCGCCGCTCCGGACTACCCGGATTCAGCCGCCGACGGAGTGAGGAAGTAGCACCCGCCTCCCAAGGACCATCTCCGCCGCGGCTCTGGGCGAGCACCTTCCAGGGCAGTTTCCGCGAAGGACACAGGCGTCCTCCCGGACTCCGCTCTCCGAGCCCCGCCGCGGCGACAGGGGCCGGCGGTCGGCGCCCACCCGGGGGCAGGTCCTACCTTCGGCCAGCAGGCGCGAGGCGTGCACGAAGGACGGGTCCAGGCTGTCTCTCTCTGCCATCAGCTCAGGCAAGTACTTCTCTTCCATAGCGCGGACTTCGTACGGCCCCCGGCCAGGCTCAGGGCTCCGTGCGCTGGACGCACGTCCCCGCCGTCCTGCTCGCCCGCCGCCCGCCCGCCTCAGCCACGGCCGGGGTCTGGCGCCCTCTCTGGGCCGGCGCCGCCCGCCCCGCCGCGGGCTGAAACGGTGCCGAGCCTCCCGGCCGGTCCACCGACCGTACCTCGCTCTCGCCCAGGTCTGCTCGCTCCAGCGGCCTGCACGGGGAGGCGGGCACAGGGGGCGTCCCGCCCCTGCCCAGCGCTCTTTGGCGGGTGTGCCTCTAGGGGCGGGGCCCTAAGCGGCTGCGAGTCGCCATTGGGCCGCATCGCACGTCGGTCCGCCGGACTGGCGGGAGGCGGGGCCGCCGGGAGGAGAGCAAGGAAGGGGCGCGCGCTTTCTTCTCGCAGCCGGCGCCCTCAGGCAGTTAGGCGCGCTCGGCTGTGGAGTCCAGGTGTGCGGAGCTGTCTGTCTTCTGCGGAGGCGCGAGCCGAGAAGAGCGGGAAAGGCGCCGTAACCGAGAAGCCGGAGTCCGAGACGGCTGGGAGACGCGGCGAGGCGGTGCGCAGCGAGGACGGGAGAGCTCCGGGAGCGCCTCAGGAGAGCAGAGGCGACTCCACCCGCATCCGGATGCTCAGGTGTTCCCTCTCCTGCCTGCACACGCGCTCGGTGCGCAGAGATCGGCTGCGCTCCCGCTCTGGAAATACAGCGAAGACTGCTTGTGATGGGTGGCTGCTGTTTCCCGTGGGCTTGACCTGTATCCAGGGGATGCAGTAGATGCTCATTGATGAACAAATAAAGCGGCTCCGCGGCAGTATCGCCGCACAGCAACGCGCCTCCAATGGACAGTCACAGACGGACTGACTGTGGTTTTCTTCCGTCCGTTCCTCCTTCCCCCGTCCCTATCTATGGGCGCCATCTGGGAGGGGGCTGAATTTTAAAACTAAAAAGCCACATAATCAGTCTGTGAAGGAATTAGAAAAACATGTGGAAGAAGGAAGAGACTAGGAAGCAGGCAACGACAGTTGCTCCGCCCTCCCGGTGATGTGCAGTCTCTTTCGCCAGGTGCAATTGCTATTCCTCTTCTGATAAAGCAGAGTTAAACCCCCGGGTATCACCAACACTGCCCATCCTTCTCTCACAAATGCACTTGAAAATGCAGCTTAAGTACTTTGGATATTACAAAATAAATTTTTCCGCCATCTCTTTTCATAAAGTCATTTTCTAATTCGCCCACTCCCCGCCATTTTTGTTTGTAGAAGAAGGAGGGCTAACTTCCCTATAAATAAAGCATGCTGAAACTTTTCCAAGTTATCTTACTGTATTCTGAATTTTCTTATTTTTCAAGATAAGGTTGGAGATTATCTTTTATGTGTTATAAATATTTATGTTATAATTATATATCATAATATTTATACATATATAATAAAACATATAAAATATAATTAAATAATATATTATGTAAATAATATAAAGTAAATGTTATAAAAATTTAACATGCCCTGACATCCATGATCTCAATTTGTCCTTATGTAGGCACTTTGAAAAACCTGGCACAAGTATTACTTTCTTTGTTTCACAGTTGTGGAAACTGAGACAGAGAAGGTCAGTGGCCCAGAAGTGATAAATATGCACTCATTTGACACCAATCACCTTCATCCCTCCCCCAGAAGCTAAATGTATGCTACCACATGCCCAATGGAAAGGACTATGTCACCAATACATGTGATGGGAATGCCAAAAATTCATGAAATAAGCTGGGAGAACCATGACTCATTGATAATTTTGGTTTTAGACTGTAGGGAAGAAAATCACATTTCTTCAGGAATTTTTTTTTTTAATCAAGAACTTTCCTGTATAGCACTTGAAAATGATCTGTATTCCCTGTATTATTGTTACCCTAGAGTATAAGAGTCGGAGAAGGCAATGGCACCCCACTCCAATGTTCTTGCCTGGAGAATCCAGGGATGGGGGAGCCTGGTGGGCTGCCATCTATGGGGTCACACAGAGTTGGACATGACTGAAGCAACTTAGCAGCAGCAGCAGGGTATGAGTATCGTGTGATGTGTGTGTGCGCTGTTTCAGTCATACCCAACTCTTTATGACACTATGGACTATGTAGCCCGACAGGTTCCTCTGTCCATAGGATTCTCCAGGCATCAGTACTGGAGTGGGTTGCCATGCCCTCCTCAGGGGATCTTCCTGACCCAGGATGAAACCCGCGTTTCTTACATCTCCTGCATTGACAGGCAGGTCCTTTACCACTAGTGCCACCTGGGAAGCCCCAAAATTCAATTCTACTAGGTACCATTTGCACTGCTTTAGCTTACCTTTTTGTAACTAAATATTTAATTTATTTATGCATGTTTGCATTCAGTAGTACTTACTGAATATTGAAAAGAGCCTAGAGAGTAATTGGAGAAATACTGGTGAATGAGCCCTGCCATCATTGAGATGATCTTTGAATGAAGAAAGACAAAACCAAGTATACAAGAGAACAGGTAATTACTGTATGCATCAAGGCCAAAAGGGAACTAAGCAAGGAGTCGAGGAAGAGAATAAGGGAATAAAGGAAAGCCTCGTTTTTTGTTTTTTTTTAAATTTTTGGCCAGGATAGATGTGCAGTCTTGCTAAGGAGTTGACATTTAAAGCAAAATCTAGTGGAAAGGAAGGAGCTATCTATATAAAATGAACAGAGATGAGTATTCCAGGCAGCTGGATTTGCCCTTGCAAAAGTCATGTGATCTGATAAGAGCTTGGCCTCCTCTTGGGATAGACTGAGGTCCTGTGACTGCAGTCATCTAGGAGACACGGGACAGATAAGGGTGAGGGATGAATGGAGACAAACTACTTAAGAGACAAATTACTTAAGATTTTCTGGATAAAATATATATATATATGTATATATAACAGGCTTTATTCCAAATGTTAGGGGCACCATAAAGAAATATCATCACTTTTTGGATGAACTTCTCAAATGATCTCTTCTGGCAGGATGTTCAGTAGTTGAAGGATCCTGTTTCTGTACCCACTTCACATAGAGGTATGAAGGGGAAACATGCTACCAGTCCTTAGAAAGGTGGCCAGGAACTGCTATAGCAGCAGAGAATGGATAAAACACAAGCCACAGCTAATAAATTGTAAGTGTTGTGGAATGAATTATAAGTTAGAAAAATTATTGTGCAATAATTGCAATCACATTTTGCTTTGCAGCCTACCAAGAGATTAAAAGCATATGGTACTGATGGGAATAAGCACAAATCCTGTTTCATGAATCAAAAAGATGAAGTAACTCTTGTTCTGTCCAGTCACAGCAATTACATTACCCATTCATAGTTCTGTTTTCCTTGACTAAAGAGATACAATGGAGAGCTATCCAATGGGTGACTTTATTATACAATGACTCTGGATATCCAGGTCATTAATACAAATGGTAAGCTAGCTTTCACCTGTTTCCTTATTATCAAAAAAGATTTATAATTTTATTTTCTTAGGTAAACATTCAACAAAAAATACATTCTAACAGAAAATAAAGTATATTTACATAGCTTTAAAGAACTAAAAGAAAACTAATATTAACCTAATCTTTAGGATAGTTTGTATGTTTAACACATGATGGGCATTATAGACTAAAAGTATAGAAGCTACATTGACCCTTAATAATCAATATGCTTCATAATTGAATCACAATTGATATTGCTTATTTCCAAACAGGATATGACTGAATAAAGGCAAACTGTCCAATTTCCTAACACGTACACTTATCCAGAATCAGATTCATGTGTTTTCAATAAATGACTCTGTGTTCTCCATTTACTTCAATATAAATATTTTATAGGTACCAAAATTGTTTAGTGGATTTTTCACAGCAACCCTAATAATGCAAACATTTTATAAATACAAATGTAAATAAATTGAGAGCCTTCTATAGATGATTGTTGAATTGAGAGTATTAACTGCCTATCATGAATTTATGATTACTGGTATAAGACTATCTCCTCTACTAATGGTGTGAATAACTTAACCAAACTCATCACTGAATTAATTCATATACCTTAAATAAAGATTTATCTTATTTTAACCATGAGTTCTAATCCTAAAAGGTTTATTTGCAATAGCATTCCATTTACTGCATTATAATTTCAGCAATTTCAGAGCTATCATCAACTTTAGGGAAACCATCCTAGCCTACTTACCCCAAGGATTAGTAGAATCCACTCGCCATAAGAACTATGGCTTAATGAAACTGTAGCAGCCCAGTCATTTATGTAATTACTCTAAGACAGAGTATAATGGAAGACTAAGATATTGACTGACTCGTCACCTACTGAAGAACACTGCAGAGCCCATTACACTGAAGATACTGCTTTATTATTTCTATTCATTGTAGTTATAACATCCATGATGTATCTTAGGGTTGCAAGAAGGGAGTGGGGACTTAGCCTGCTGACAACCAAGCAGTAGTAGCATGTGGCAGCAAATCATCTATCATATATAATGTATTTAGAGTTGAAATTATGCTATGTGCTAATATGCCATGGCAGAAAGTGAATATTCACCACTCAAAGCTGAGCTATATATGTGTGTATACACACACACACACACACACACACACACATACATATGTATACACATATACACACATATAGGCTAAAAAAGTGTTTTCTGATTAGAAAGCTTTGAAATTAATGTATTGTATGGGATTTAAGCTGATACAATGCTGTAGTTAAAAGGCAGAAGAAAAGAGAAATGAACTGATATTTGTTGAAGACTTAACTGTGTTTGGAATACTGCTATTTTGAATCCTCAAAAATGTAAGCTATTTTTAATTCTAAAGTGGCCCAACAACTCAAATAAACCATTTCTGATATTGAAATTATCTCTATTAGGAAAACTAACCAAGCTCTTGGCGTTGTGCCTGTGATCAGTCACTGCACTGACACAGGTGGGCTGGCCTCCCTGGAACAAGGAGCAGTCACTACATTTTGGGG